CGTCCTCCATTCCTTGAGATGATCAAAAAGCCAATTGCAAAAACAAATGTCTCTTATACTCTGTAATGACAATGAGATGTTTGAAAATATCATCATCTCTGCTGTGCAATTTGTCTGATGAGAGAACATTAGGCACACCCACACAAGAGGTCTGTTCTGTAAAGCTGTGCCTTGTAAATCCACCTATACGTAGCAGCAATCCAAAGGCAAGGTCTCAAGTACAGACTGATGGCCGTGAAGTGAAGTTAAGTGCGAACGATCAAACACAAATACATGAGTATCCACAGGAGTGTGCAGCAATTGCAGCAAAGCTGTCATAAATAAACTCCTATCTGATCATACAGCGCTACAGTTACACTTGGTTAACGCTAACACACAGTTTGGGTCAAAATGTAGGAAACAAAAATAAAAAGCTGCCTTTTGTGTTAAATTCTGCTTTTTGTGGACCCGTCCACCCACCCAGACAGCTTCCCTCTTCAGGCTGTATGGCTTTGTACCAATTTCACATCACACTCTTCTGATAGACAATCCTCCTATATGGCTTTGTCTCTCAACAAAATTGTTGTTTTTTAGCTAACAGACTGTCGCTGCTGTTTCTCTTGGGCTACCAGCAAATTCAGAAGCATCAGTCTTTCATCAGCCGGTCTCCTCCACATGTAATTGAATGGCAGTCTCTCACTCCACTGCAATTAGCAAAGTGGGGACTTCAGAAGATGAACATTTGGGACCTTGTCAAGGCTAACTAGGTGTGTAGGTGTGTGATTGTGTGCTTTACGTTTGTTTGTAGATTTAACGAGACCGACAAACAAACCTATAGCTAAATGTTGCCCAACATTTCCTTCCCGTTCATCACCTAAAGCGCACTCTGGCTGACCTTGTCTTTATAATAAATGTGTGTTATTGTGTTCATGTTTAAGCTCCAAGCAACCATAGTTAACATGTTGATGCAACAGCAGCAATAACATAATTAGGCAGCTAATTTGTTTATTGTTAAAGGTAATGCAGCTTGGGTCAGCTGCCCCCACGGGTAGCTGCCTGCATCTGTGATTGTTTGTCTTCTTCGAGATGTATGCGTTTGCTTATTGCTTTATCACTGGGATTTATGTGTGTTTTTTCAGGCTCTCTGCTTCTAGTTTTGCGCACCACAAGGCAACTGAGCGTGAATGTGCCCCCATGCACATGTGTGTTATTCATAAGATGATGTGGTACGGCGAGGGATTCTGGGGGGTCCTTGTGTTTTTATTACCTGCTGGCGGCCTCCTGCCAACATCCAGCTTGATTAACTCCACCCCCTCTCTCGCGCGCACACACAAAGTGCTACTTTATCACTACAAGTCTGCAGGAGTTGTAAAGGAGCAGCAGCTAAGGTTCTCAAAATGTTATTAGCTATTAAAAGCCTGAGTAGGAGACAAAGGGATCCACTGTTCCACTTTATTTCTTACGACACTTTGTCAACGAGAGCTTTTACAAAAGAGGAAATCCACACGCTCCCACCTGTGCGAGTCAGATGTTTGCTAGCAGGTAATTTATTACCAAAGCTTGAATTGCGGGATGTTCTCGGTTTGCGCGCGTCTTTACAGATGTCTACAGTACTTTATAAAGGTAACATTTTAAATAAGAGTCTAAGGCACACACGGTAACACTCTCACACAAGGAAGCAATTTGCTCTTCCATAGAACGAGTGTAATTTGGTAAAGACAGACTGTGTCCCGCTGCCTCCTGTTACTCATGTGTGGCAGCTGGTAATGAAAGGGCCACTGGAAGTCTTAGGGGTTTCACTTAAGCCATTTTGTGCTCAATTTATTTTGTGTATCAGAGTAGGCAGTGTGAGATGGTTTGCCTAACAGTTTTTTACAACCCACTGATATAGATGGACGATGCGCCTCTCCTTAGGCGTCCACTGATTAAAAGAAATGTCTACCATATGATTAATCTCTTGATGTTTAAAAAAATACAAGTACAGGATCTACGTGGAAGAAACAGGTATTTCCGACATAATTAGGTCCTATCTAAAAATACAATTATAGTTATTCCTCCTTACTGTACAGCGCTCACATCTTGATTTCATGGTCAGTGCAGCCTCCATCCATCATCCATTGAGTTAGGTCCCTATAGGGTAACCCCTCTGTCTTATGCCACTTTCTGCTCATCAATCAGTCAATTACTGGAGGAGTTCAGGGTCAAAACTCAGGCCACACATACATTTAAGCCCTCTAAAGTTGTTCATTGTACTGTGTAGAAAAAGCCCATTTTTATTTACAATTTGTATAAAGTCGCAGTGTGCAGTGCAAGCTCAGCTCAGTCAGCCTGTACTGTATGATGAAGGAAAGCTGCAGGAAAAATCAGTTTTTGTATTTTTTTCCCTTCATAAAATATAGTAGTACATAAAAAAACGAGTGTAAGGATAAGAGGACTAGACCAGGGAGTGAGAAAGGAGGGAGGGGAATGGAGCGGCTTGTGAGATCAAGGTCGTATCCAGGCTTTAGTATTGGTATTCTCCTCAGTGTTAAAATGATTCTACCAGTGAATAGTGTTTTCATTCCTCTCCTGAATGAGATTCACAGGAGCATGGAGAGAGAAAGGGGGAACAGGAGATGGAGAGAGAGCGAGAGAGAGAGACATGACAAAGAAAAGAGAAAGCTACCCCTCCCCTCTCCCTCTTTTTCTCCCCCCTTCCTCCCTACAGTTTGTGCTCCCCTTGGACATACAATAGCAAATGAAAATACAGCGTGGGATAAACAACTTTTATCAGACTGGAGCAAATGAAATCGACTATTTTATTCAATTCTTCATCCCTGAAGCATCCCTTACTCCATTTACCCAGCAACCTCACCCCTGCAGTTTCATCAGAGAAAAAAAAAGAAGGTGCTTTATGCAAATCAAATGCTTTATTCTTGATTAGATTACAGACGCAATAATTGTCTTGGATGATTTATGGTTGTAATTGGTTGCCACAAACTGCTGCAACAAAAGCTCAGTTGCCATGGTTTGTGCTATGAAGACATTACATCAACAGATTTTAGGGTATCTCCTATAAAATCCACTTCTGCAGGCACATACAAGTTACATTAGAAAAATTAACTTGCTGAGCATGTGGAGTTTTCTAGGTTTTTTTATTACTTAAGTTAAATGATGATGTCCACAGTTGCACTTTTCCCCCACCACAGACCATATAAAAGATGGACAAGGTTTAAAGGTCTGAAAATGAAAGTTTCTTAAATTTCCATGTGTTTAATGACCAGCAGGGGCCACTTCTCTGGTTGCAAAAAGACTTTTGGTTGTATAGACGTCTATGGGAAAAGGGCTACGGCTCCTGTGCTTTATGACCTTAGTAAATGCTTTATGGGCTAAATGACTAATTTCAGGTCATACTGAATAGAACATGAAGGCTTTTCTATAAATTATGGTAATTCTAAGAGTCAGGAAAGAGAATTATCCAGGATATGTTAATTAGCTACTGACTTGTGCTTGACAACTTGTTAGCCTAGTCCCAGTCCCTTATCTGTCATAGCGCCAGAAATGATTGCTGCAAAAAAGGCCTCGCTAACCAGTGGGTGATGTAACTATGGTTACGTTCACTTTTTGTATAGTGTCTTTGGTTTTTGCACATGAGGGATCTCCCTTCACCTCAGCTTTGGAAGATCAATTGCCAAGCTACGAGACCTGGAGGGGTTAATTAATTTTCCCAAGGGGCCACAAGAAAAACTGGGGTTATTGTGGAGGGCCTCAGCAAGAAGCTTATAAAGAGATAAAATTAATAATGAGCCGAACTGGGTTCCTTTTAGGGTTGTGGCCCTCCACAACAGTCCCAGTTTCTCATGTGGCCCCATGGTGAATTGAATTGCTCACTCCTGTATTAGACAGTGCCACAATAGATGATTAAAATTGACTCTCCCTCTCCTACAGCCTCCTACATCATGCAAACACTAAGCTGAACCTGATTGGTTGAAAGCCTCATGGTGGCTGTCTTCTCATGGATTATAAAATGTAACCAACATGGTGGATCTTTGACAAACTTTTGAGTCTGGCAAAATTGTTTTTGAAAACACTGGAAAGAAATGAGGAGAGTTGAGAATCAACTTTCATTTTACATCGACAATGGATGGATAAAAAGTTTGGGGGGAGTTTCCAGAGTCATACTATACATCCCTAACTTGCATAAATGAGGAGCAAATGACTTGACAGCCCATCGTTTGAAACCCAGCACAACCCTATCAGCATGCATTGCTCGGCTGGAATAGAAGAGATGAATGGTGAAGCATGGAAATGATGAATCCTGTGAACAGATACCACGTGTGGAGACCAAATGCAAAAATAAAAAAGATGAATAGAAAATAATGGAAACAGTTCTCCAACCAGAGCAGTGCTGAAAATGAAATATTTAATAGCCAGACTTGTAATTGAGTCCGTAGAAGTCATCAACCTGTAGGAGTTAGGACATGGGATTGCTACCTTTGTAAGAGACAAGTGGCAAATTAGGTGCCTGCCATTCCTTTCCATTATCAGGTGCTGCTGATACTTCTCAGCAGGCTAATCTCACCGAGAGCTCTTACACTTCACTAAGACCCTGTCACAGACCGAGTCAGTGAGAGAGAGAGAGAGGCACAGAGATCTTCTCTGCTTGACATCGATCTGTGACGCATATCACCACCCCTAATCCAATTAATTTTGTTTTGCTTCCATCGTGGCTTACTTGAGTCATCAAAATTGCATACACAAATACATCTCTGGCACACTGCATTGGGCCATACAAAATGCACAAACAGCTAAATCTGGTAGAGTGAAAATTCTTTGGGTAATTCCTTTCTGTTTCTGCCTGTGATCGAGTCTCCAGCCTTCCTCATTACTTTGTTTCATGCAGAACCCAAGAAGGAAAGCAATTTATGAAAGAGTTAATTGAAAACACTGTTTGACAAACTCCTTTTTTCCCTCCTTTCTTCCCCTTCTGTCATCCCTCTCCACCTCCTCCTTGTCCACCACTTCTGCCTCTCTTTGTACAGGCTGAGGCAAATCTCTAGTAGAGGACCAGCAGCAGCAGTGTTGGTGCGACCATGAGGTCAGAGGCCTTGTTACTCTACTTCACACTACTGCAAATAGCCGGGGCGGGCTTCCCCGAAGACAGTGAGCCTATTAGCATCTCACACGGCAACTGTAAGTATATCCTTTTTCTTGCTTCTCTTCACTTTCTTTATGTCTTTCTTTCGTTCTCTGCTTGAGCACCGTCCCTTCTCTCATTACAAGTCCTCCCTCGCTCTATGCGTGCACTCTTTTCCCTTTCCGCTTTGTTTTGTACTTCGCAAATCCCCTTCTCGATATCTGTGTCACTTGTTCTATCCTTTTTCACTCGTCCACATCCCTCTCAACACTTCTTTCCTCAGCAACCCCCACCATCCCCTACACTCAACGCATTCTGAAGGCATGGAGTGTAATTTGGCGCCCAAGGATAGCCCCTCTACACACACAAAAACGAAAGACTTAAGGCAGAATTTGAAATGGAGCCCACCCTACATCAAAGGATAATCCGCTATTTTTCTGTTGGGCTCCTAATGCTGTGTGTGACAGTGTAAATGCTGTAGCAGGCTATAAAGATATGGTCATTGTTTCTGCTGATTCTCTCTGTGTCTCTCCCTGTCCTGTCCTGCTGTGCTCACTTTGGGCTTAACGCTGTCCGAGGGAACTGAAACGCAGGCCAGAAAGCCTCACATAGACCTGCGCTCCTCTATCACAGTGTTTATTCAAACTAAGCGCTTTCATCCAAAGCCACTAACAATAGAACGATTGCATGGTACAGTGCAGCATATTTTTAGCCTACAATTTATGGTTACACGAGAGCCTCAGCTGACAATTGCGGTGGCATTTTCTTATCCAGCAAAGACACATAGGTTGACATTTGACCCCAAACTCCTGGGACGTATGACAAAAGCTTTGAAAGCCAAATTACAAAATCCCTCACACGAGCTACAATAAGTGGGCACACACAGGGATTAATTTTTGTCCTCCTCCTTGCAGACACAAAGCAGTATCCAGCATTTGTAGGCCACAAACCTGGAAGGAACAACACGCAGCGGCACAAACTGGACATTCAGCTCATCATGATTATGAACAGGACATTATACATCGCTGCCAGGTGGGTGATAGTACCTCAATTTGTGCAGTTTTAGAGAGACAGGCATTAATTCTGCTTTCATTTATGGAATAATTACAAGGAATAAATTCAGGCCATTGTAAGTTAAGCATCTTCAGGATTATTTTATTCTTTATGACCTAATACTAATTACAGTTGCTTTGTGAACTCCTGTTTTAGCTCAATAAATGTAAAACCCTCACATTTTGAACCATCAAGCTGAACTTCGGGGGCCTGCTGCACTGGTTTCTTTTAAAGTTTTGGTTAATCAGGAGGGAATAATTCAGAGCAAAATGCTGAGACCTGAAATCACTTAGCAGTCTGGACTTTTTCCCTTCATTACCTCTTTGTTGTTTTCTATTTTCAGCTCACCGTCTGCCAAATCCCTCTTTACCTTGTACGATGTCCCTATAGACTCGTGCCCTGCTTTTTTAAAAAAAAAACAAACATCCAAGCACACTAACACAGAGATAAACTGCAGATAAGTTAAAAACTAATGTCAAAGAAAACCATTTTTTTCTGCTTTTTGTGTTGTCAATAAACAGCAATACAGGACATACAAAAGGTATTCCTTCATTTTATGGCGGCCTAGTTGCTCTCAAAAATCGATTTTTTTTTTAAACTCTTTGTCGCTTTGTCTGGCTGACCCCCACTCCCCAGTCTGTCACCTACCTTTATTGCTTTTTGTCCATCCATCAATGGGTTTTTCACCTGTGCATCTTTATTTGGGTGTGACTCATTTTTCCTGAGATAATATAACTCACTTACAGCATCTGGAGCCATGGAGAAAATCAATATTGATTTTTGTCTTTCCTCTTGTCTAGGGATGGGTATCGTTTAGGTTTTATCTGATACCGGTGCCAAATCGGTACTTTTGAAACGGTGCCGGTGCTCAAACGGTGCTCAAACC